TACCGAATGAAAAGAACCCAATCAAATGCATTCAAACCACATTGTCGGCTGACGGCAAAAACCCTGGAGCTCATCACGACTCTAATGTGTGGGTATTTCTCAACACAGGTTATGGCAGATGGCTGGGTACATTTAGGTCAAGAGGCAATTTCTCACCATTTGAGTCACCGTTGAGGGCTAATTCGTTATTAGTGAGCCGAAACTGACGCAGGGCAAGTTATTATTTGTTGTGGAAGGTGTATATAGTACAGCCAGTTGCCAAGGTAACAGAGCTGCGTATTTATTTTGGTGCTTTCCTCAGCTCTGTTGTGATTTTCGCCACGAAAGCGTGCTAAAAGTTCATGGCAACTTTGCAAGTAATCCAGAAGTAATTTGTTATTTGATAACCAATTAGGCGTTTCAGTTTGATAGGACGTAGAGGTAACTTTTGAAGAAAGTAGCTTAAATTATAGCTCAATGATAAGACTAGACCATAAAGGACGTAGATCTATGTGCTTTGAATTTGTCACCAGATTCACTTGTAGAGTAACTGAAGTGAAAATCAAATCAAACTACACAACGGGCAAGTTTTGTAATCAGTCCTGGTTCCTACGCCGATGCTATTCACTAATCGATAATAGAGAAAGCCGAAAACTGGCTTCTGATACCAGTCAGTGAATGTCAGCTGTATCACATATCGACAGAAGCTTTCTACCGAGGAGTCTCAGCAGGTGTATCATCGTTGTGGGCGCGTGTTAGTGGCTTATTATTTGCGATGGGCATAAGTAACGACATGCGATGAGCAAATGCAGTAAATGTCCTTGTCCTTACATTATGAAGCAAAGAACGATCCCAGAAATATAGTTGAGAGTTTATTTATGTTTTACCACCTTCTAAGACTGTTATTGACTGGATTGAGCGACTGGTGTCAGTGGTGTGCTGACTCATTGATTGGCTGAATATGATGCCCTGAACCTGACCTTCTGACCTAATGAATCGCCTAACTGCCTAAATTACTGCTTAAGGCATTTTGACAGTTGAGTTTGACACTAACTATGTAGAATGATGACCTTATATTATTGAAAGAGCAAAAATCAGGTAATTACAATTCACGACACTAAAGATAATAACCTACCTATCCCCAGTAGTTTTACCAACCCCTTCAGTGGCACGATAGGCTCTTATCTCTGGGACCCATACACTCTAGTTCACAAGTGTCATTGTTGTCTCAAGGCCGGGCTTTGTGTTCTCCACTCTCCAGTGGTCAATGCCTCTTCACCGAGGCATATGTTGGCAAGCTAGTAATAGTATACTAATTAGCATTACTAGGGTGATAGTTGCCTCATCAGGTAGATGGAATGCTTCTATGAACAGGTGATTAATGTATAATTGAGCGATGATAAACGCTAATCGGGAGATGGTTGAATTCGCTTGTGGACAAGGGTAATGGTAAGTACTAGATGGTTACACACCAAGTCGAATCCAATGTAACATGAATTTGTTATCATACCGACATTAGCTGACTATGATCAACACGTGAGTCTCGGCAAGAAATTATTGTCTTTATAGGAAAAAACACAGCTTTTATATACGACCAATGGGCGGCGCTTTCATAAAAAATAGGATGCGGAAAGAAACCAATGTCGACGCTAGAGATGTCAATCGGATACCAACTTTTTGGTATACCGATACCAAACCGATACCAACTTGGTATTTGGTATTTCAATCGTAATGTGTTTGGTATTTTGTTGGTATCATGAACCCTCACTAATGTATAAGAGGCTAAGAAATCGGTAAAAAATTGATATTTCCCTCATGTTCCAAAGCTGGTTTGGTTTCGGTATTTTCTCACGGTTTTGTTTGGTATTTGGTTTGGTATCGGTATCACGATTTTCTGTAATTGACACCACTGGTCGACGCCACGAGGGTCAAAACATCTTACAGCCAATAGTAATTGTTTTTATTTGTCAAAGATCTTCTCCGTCATTCCTTTATATCTCCCAGACTACCATACAACTCCAAATCGTTTTGTCGCAACTCTCCTCCACCTACAAACATAAATCAAAAGCAGCAGTCCCACTCAGCTCCCTTCCATCCATGCCCCCAGGCTGGCGGGTGGCTGTGCGTCTGTTACGTCACAGTGACCTTGAACGGCGGCCGCTGATTGGCTGTCGTCAGACACCGCCGCGGGCTATGGAACACAGTTCGTCTCGCGTTACCCAGTCTATTTAGCTATGCCTGAGTGATTCGCTCGGCCGCGATGCGTGAAGGTTGAACTTGGACAGCTTTATAAAGATTGATGATGCACGGTTATTCACTTCTTTTATGACAACGGTCAAATCGATTTTGATGAAGCATAATCCCTGCTTCTTAGAGATGGTCGTTCGGACGGCAACAGTCAAATGAACATCGAGATAAGGTTAAAGACATGAATTGTCTGGAGTATGTCGGTGGCCACTGACCTGCAACGGTTGGAGTAGCTCGCTACCCCGTATTTCTGCGATGTTACTGACCTCAACTGTTGGAATGTGGAGCGGCCACTGACCTGAACTGTCGGAAGGAAGGCGCTGATGTTGTCAGAGACTATGGACGGCTCTGGAGGAGTCAGATGGGGTGAGTCCGGGGCCAGCATCGACTTCAGTCTCTGAAATAACACGGCAAACTGATTGGGCACAACGTGACTGAAACAGTCGATATGACGAAAATAGCTTCGAGTTTTGTTCTGAAGTGAACAAAGACTCCAGAGTCCCGATAAGTCCTGATATAGCCACGAGGACAACTTATATCTCCTTACTCATGACAATGAGGATCACCTTATTCACTGTCCACAACTCTTTTATTCCACCACTGTCCACAACTCGTTTATCCAGCTTTCAACATAGCTACAAAGCGTGTCATTAGGCATTATTACAGCATTTTTATGACTCCCATCATTCCCCTATAGCAATAGACTTCAAACGTCATCTCCGGAACCCGCTGATGACGTCACACTCACCTCCGGCACCAGCTGCTGCCAGGTGGATGACGTCATGTCCAGATGATACCTCTTCAGGTACCAGGCCGCCACGGCCACCACTGGAAGGACGAACAGCAGTGACACGAGGTACAGCGGACCTGTCTGCAGATCCTCCTCGGACACCTCCTCGACGAGGACTTCGTGGAGGACTACCTCCTCCAGGGGCACCTCCCGAAGGGGGAAACTGCCACCATGTTCGCCAGGTTGGGTGCTCTGATCAGTGACTGTGAACAGCGGGGCGTCCTGCTCGGGAACTGGAAGGAGGCGGGATCGCTCAGGGGTACTGGGGTTTCTTGGGGATGTTGTTTCGGAGGAATGTGCTGACGAATAGGATGTAGACGATGATAATACAGAGGACGATGATGTTGGACTTGCTGCACCACCTTCGTGTAGGGTCTCTCGGTGTTCGTTTCGCTGCTGCAGAGCGTTGTCTGCACTGTATGAGTTCTGGTGGTGGTTTTTGTATGTTCTATCGTTCGAGTCCCTAAACTTCTTATGATTGTTTTCCACGTGGATGCTTTGATCCCACTGTGTGGAAGGAGTGGATGCTTCGCCTTTCCACGGAGGAAGACTGCCGAACTCTGGTGCTGACAAGGTGAACTGGTCGAAGTTTTGCTCTGTTGTAGAGCTGAATATTTGAGTTTTGATAAAGTCATCTGGATTCACTTTGGCAGTCTGTGGGGAGGACTGATCCGTTTGGGGACCTTCCCTTCCTGGATTCCGCACTTTGTCTACGATATCGGTAATGGGCTCTTTGGCACTTCCCTTGCGCGCGAATTCACCAGTCGTCGATATTTCAGTGACATCAGAGTCCACTTGAGATGGACTCCGAGTCAAGTCACTTCTACCATTAGAATCCAGATCTGCTGAAGTTTGGGACGGAGGCAATGTAACCCGCTTTCTCAGTTTGAATTCTAGCGGTGACACTGCGATCGATACTGACGTCGCCAAAGAAGTGCCCAGTACTTTCCTAGACGGTACTTCCGGTCGACTTCCTGACGACTTCCGGCTATCTTCCGATGTGCCTCCTTGTGAAGCTCGGGATGCCTCATTTGCTTTTCTGACCGACGTTCGCTCACTGTTTTGTCGATTTCTGTTTCGCAGTGGTACACCAAGTCGCGCACGCACTGTCGTTCGTCTCGTAGGCGGGAAGGTAACACTCACAGTGAAATTTCTCTGGAGAGGCGGTGCTGTAATCAATCCCGACCGGAAAGGCACCGGAAGTGTGGAAAGAATGATGGAGAAAGGTGCCACCGTCGGCAGAAAACCGGCGGGAAGTGGCGGAGGAGAAGACGGCCCACCTTTAGTCGACACGTTATCGCCATCGGTGACAGAGAAGACATTTTGACGTTGCCGAAGACGCTTTGCCAGCAGATTTGGTTTTCCTCTGCCAGACGACTGTACTCGGCGAAGGTGATCAGGTCGTCTCCGTCGGTTCAGTGCGGAGCTTGAGGAGGGCTGAACTTGTGGTTCCGTCGATGTCTCACTTTCCGAGGAAGAGCGAGAGTCGGCATCCTGTGCGCTGCCCGTTCCAACTGACTTTCCAGTGTTTAACAGGGTTTCTTCATGGCGAGAAGTCAATAGAGTGGTTGTTGTTGGCCCAGACTCAGAGAAGAGTTTAGAGCGATCGGCAGAAGCAATTTCATCTTCATTTCTCTCTTCATGGAGCTTGTTTTGCGCTGGTTCACTGAGACTACCAGCCTTACTCTTTGGCGTGGAATCTTTGGATTCAGTGTCACCTTCAGCTTCCTCTGTCCCAGCCTCAGCTCTCTCCTCACCGAATGGCGACGTTGCAGCCTCTAACGCTTCCTCGTTCTTTTTAGACCTGTTGTTCATTCCACGCCTGAGGAATGCAGGCGGCGTCCTTGCCCTGTTCCTTATCCTACCCAGGAGTCCCAGAACTTTTTCGACCTCCTGCCGATCACTACGAACACCCGACGGGGTAGGACTTGGTGTGGAGGCGACAGTGCGAGTTCGATTTCGGTTTATTCGAAAACGGTTTCTGTAGAGACTCAGACGGTTGCGCTGGAGTAACGAGAATGATGGACGGGAATGATCTGTAGAGTTGTGAGATGTTGTAGAAATAATTTGTGGGCCATTTTGTTGATGAAATGACGTTGAATTTTGTGGCCTGTTTGTGGATGGGGTGTTGACTTGCCCTTCTGAAGTTTGAACCAGCGTGAGGACGTCTGATTGCAGATCAGAGCTTTCAGTTGAGGATTTGGTCGTGTTGTTCAGGTTTCTCGCTTCTTTTGTTGTTTGAGAATCGTTGGAAACAGTTGTTGCATGTTCATGTCTGAAAGTTCCGTGGGTACTTGACTTAGAAATAGTTGGATGTGTTCCTGTCTCTTCTGATGTTGAACGTTCTTCATCGGTCTCATTTTCTGTAAATACTGACGAATTGGATTCTTTCGATTCACTAGTTCTTGCTCTTGGACTTGAACGTTCTCTGCCAACAAAGCGTGTTTGCTGAAGCTTATCTGACTCTTCTAAAGCATGTTTACCATTAGTATCAGGATCTTGTTCTTCGGGATTTTTCGCAGAATTTTCATCTCCGACTGTCCTTGACTCCAAAGTCGTGCTTCGAGTACCAGAAGATAGTGTTCTAGCCGACTGTCTTCTCTGTTCCAGTAGCAATCGTGCACGTGCACTCTGGCCTCTTCCTCGTTCTTTCTTATCGTCGGTGGTCTGTTCCTGCGTCATTTCCAGGGCTGATGACGTCACTTCAGGGGTTGACGACGTCACTTCCGGTGATTCTGTCGTCGTTTCCGGTATGTTTGCGAGTACCTGAAGTGACTCTGTTGTCAGTTTTAGTGGTTCCGTTGTCACATCTGGTCTTTCTGACGCAGGCTTTTCTGTCGGCACTTTCAGCGTGTCTGATGTCACGTCCGGTTCCGTAGAAGGCTTATCCTCTATTCCTGACGACACTTCCGGCTGAAGTTTGTTGCCAAAATCAATAAAAGGCTGCATTCGATGGTCTCCTACTAGGCCTTGCGCGAGTAGGAACTCTGGCTGCCTTCGAAAATGCGAACTATTCAAAACTGCCAAAAAGGTCGGATCGAGAAACTCATCTAGCGAGCGTTCCGTCGTCGATACTCCCGCCACCTTTCGCCGGCGGGTGACACTGGAAGTGTCATTGCGAGCTATAGATGGCCCTGGCGGCGCGATGTGTCGTTTCCGGCTTGTTGATCTCCGAGTATTTGGAGGAACCACTCGAATAAGGCGGGCAGAGGCGGCAGCCACAGTGTCCTCCCCATACGACACTGAAACAAACAGACAGAACGGAGAGCTGTCAGTGTTTGATGGATGAACAGCCAAAATATTGACGGACAAGGTGTAACATAAACTCCGCCGTTTCGTGACCAATAGGAGAAAGGGAAAATTATCAGGACATCAAGCCGTAATCGCCACGCCATATGTGGAAGGCTTTTGGTGTCAATACATACATACATACATACATACATACAAACAGGGGCATTCAGTCACAAGAGTGAAAGTTGCTAGCTCTAAGGAAAACAGACAGTGAAGAAAGTCAGTGTGTCGATGCATTATGATGTCAAAACTATACAGGACGGTGATCGAAAGTCGAAACACGCAAAATAAAAACCAAATCGTTAGTCCAACGGACGCCTCCAAAACAATCACAGACTGCAGACAAGCCCAAAACACAGCACTAAAACCAAATAACCACATTTAAACCCGCGAGCCGCTGGGTGAGGGTGGGGGGGGGGGAAGAAAAATGCCATCCCTTCGAAGCATATCTCTCTATATATTCAATAACTTCAATAATCGTCACAAAAGCTCTGAATGGGTCCGCTTCGCACTGTTGTCACTGTCCAGCTTTCTACCCACTACTGGCGGCACATGAATGCTCATTTCACCCCGCGATCCAGCTGTCTGGCATTTTTCCAATCTCCGATATCCCACTGCATATCTCGGACGGATTCTGATAAATAGAAACTCTGCCGTCGTTGAGGTCGCACCTGTCACGGATGGAGGCTCATTTACGTCCATAAGAAAAACCGTACAGCGCCGGGCGAGCTCAGCTGACGGCGGCGTCAGGTGGCGATTTCTCCCGGCGATCACGGCATCGCTGCGCCGAAATGTTGCGCAGCAGCGGCGAGCGTGGTGGTAGTTTTTGTTGCGGGATAGTGCACGGTATCAATTTTGTCTCCTGTCCTTCAGGCTAACCTTGTGTACGTCGTTGATTAACCCGCGCGGGGCTGGGGTCTCCAGCCGAACGCGCGGGGCTGGGGGGGGGGGGGTAAATTTTACCCCCCCCCCCCTGTTATCTCCCAAACTAACGGTCCGATTTGGAAAATTCAAACGCCAATCGAAAGCTCTCATCACGAACTACTAAAAACATGTACTTAATTTAAAGTTTGAGGTCAAGGTCAAGGTCAGGTCAAGGGTACAAATTGCAAGTTTCTACAGTATCGGCCTTGCACCGTAGTTGCCGAAGAATGGAGTCATGGACTGAGACTGATCGCCCAAAACGTGTTCTTAGGCTACCAAGACAATATTCGTTGCATACAATATCATTCAGAGGTCAAGGTCAAGGTCAGGTCAGGTCAGGTCAGGTCACCAAAAAACAAAATATAGAAAGGGGCATGTGCGACACATGTTTTATGGGTCATTTTACTCATAGAATTCAATAGGCACACTCAATAAGTGATATGGACCACCTCTGGATGAATTTCAGGTCGAGGTCAGGTCAAGGTCAGGTCAAGTGAGGTCAAATTTTGAAGTTAGTTGTTAAGGCCTAAAAAGGTGTCTATCTGATGCAGTTTTTCACGGCGAATCGAATGGTGCTATTTTTGTTTCCGTACGAGGTCTAGAACTTCCAAAAAAGTCATTTTTCAAAAATTTTGTGTGTCGTGACGTCATAAAATTTTGAATAACTCCCACATTTTTGAACCGATTCTTCTAAAATTTGGTATGTAGGTGCACATAGACCACTTCTCTGATATATATTCCGGTTTTTTCGATAGACTCAAAATTTTGGGTTTTATAATGATTTTCCCAAAAAAGTCAGTTTTTTGAAAAAATTTAGGCCAAAATCCAAAATTTTCAAAAAACCGAGATAGCCATTTGATAGACAAAGTAAAATTACGTATAACCTTTTTCGTTACGTCTTGATTCCTTTAAAAATGAAGATGTTAGCGGCGTTTGAACTTTTGCCGTTTTTGAGGCGAAAATGACGAACATGACGTCACTAAAACGTCAATTTCTCAAAAAATTTCCGACGGATTTCGCTCAAATTTTCAGGGAACGTGTCAAATTGATGTAAGAAAAGGTACTGAAAGTTTGGCGGCGCTGCGCGCCGCCGTTTTTGAGATATCGCAAAAATTCGCGAGGGGGGGTAAAATTTACCCCCCCCAGCCCCGCGCGGGTTAATGCTTGTCACAGACCGACACATTTTTAGCAGGATAAGAAGGCATTCACAACGAATTTTTCACATATAGATATAACAAGTAACAGAACAATACGCACTTTCCATGGTGAAATAAGGCGTTTGGTTTTCACAGCCAACCAGTTTCTTTTTCGTCGGTATGAGTGTAGGGAGTAGCGGCACGCCTGTAGTGACACCCTAAATGTCTTGCCTGACACTTTGTCCGGTGAATTCGTTATCAAGAAATTCAACATCAGGATGGCGCAGCACTTTTAGTGGCTCTTTAAGACTCTAGGGACGAAATATTCGTTTAGCAGATCGTGACATGTTTCTCTATGTTCGGCGCACACTGCATGTAGTTTCTCAAATTTAGTGTTTCTGCGACCTGTGTTTACCTTCTCTCCTTTCTCTCTGCTTCCATCTATCTCTGTCACTGCCACTGTCACTGTCTCTGCCTCTGTCTCAGTCCCTGTCTCTTCCTATCTCTCTGTCTCTGTCTATCCCTCTGCCTCTCTTCCTTCCCTCCATCCCTCTCTCCCTCTCCCTCTCCCTCTCCCTCTCCCTCTCCCTCCCCCCGCACTCTCTGACCGTCACACTGCCCGACCACTACCATCACGATCCGTCACGGACACTGTCACGATAACGTCACGAACACAGGTCAGCGTCACGAACCGCATAACTGCCGCCCGGCCAGTCACGAACCGTGACACAGTCACAGTGGGCACTGGTGACACCAGTGACCAGTGAATAGTGAATAGTGACACTAGTGACCAGTGAATAGTGAATAGTGACACGAGTGACCAGTGAATAGCGAATAGTGACGCTAGTGACCAGTGAATAGTGAATAATGAATAGTGACACTAGTGACCAGTGACCAGTGAATAGTGAATAGTGACACTAGTGACCAGTGTATAGTGAATAGTTATTAGTAACACTAGTGACGCAGTCATAGTTAACACTAATGACGCTGGTTTTGAGCTACAGGCAAGAGGTTCAGTCACCTCTCTCTCTCTCTCTCTCTCTCTCTCTCTCTCTCTCTCTCTCTCTCTCTCTCTCTCTCTTTCACTCTCTCTTTCTTTCGTTCTTTCTCCTCTCTTTCTCTAGGTCTTCATCTCTACCTCATTCATTTTATTTTATTTTTTTCTTTCTCTTTTTTCTCTCTTACCTTATCACTCCCTCCTCCTTCCTTCTCTCCCTCTCCCTCTCTCTCTCTCTCTCTCTCTCTCTCTCTCTCTCTCTCTCTCTCTCTCTCTCTTCCTAGCTCTGATCTGATTCATTACAGAGTTCAAGAAGGAAACCGTAACTAAGCGATGACACATCAGTTCTTCCTTACCACGTGACAACAACCTCATCCCGAGACATAACGCATCACGCGAAATGCCACGGCCTTCATCCGTGACGTCACGTTATCGCACATTACGTCACGTGACCGTACGAAACGCACTCATCGTGAGAAACGGAAGTTTCTCTGCAATTGATAGAAGTAATGGCCTAGACAGGATACAATCGCTGCCGGTTATGTTACTTGTCTTTTATTACGTTTTTCATCTGGCTCCGGATTTGGCTCTGCTGTATGTATGAAATAGAACACATAAGCGAAATGTAAATATTTGTAACCTGCTGACCGAAAATTATCAACTCTCTTAATATTATCCTCGGAATTTGACGTTGCCGTCAATTGGAAACCCTAGTATTACTCCTGCGTCCTGCGTTAGTTATACACCAGTTCTTATATTGTTGCATTGGCAATATCTGCGTTTGTTTTACGTTTACTCATTTTCTTTTTCGCCACTTCTTCATCTCTTTCCTCTTCCCCTCTTTCCATCGCCGGTTACCATTCGTCCCTTGTGATTCTAACCGCAACCTCTCCCGTCGGGCAAAGGCCGGCCCCGATTCCGGCCACTCTAATGGCTCCAGTTGCGTCACAAATTAGGCCCGCGACCGATCACGGCCACCCGCAATCAGCTGGCATCCGCTTATGAAACAAGGGCTGCCAAACCCGACCATAGCTCGGGGAATGCCCGCTGGATGAATACGAATGCTGCGCGGCCGCGACAAACGATTGATTGCGAGTGCAGTTATGTAAGTGTTCAGTCAGCTGTGTTTAGTTACAGATGCCAGCGGTGGAATGAGACGAGTAGTTTTATGAGTAGAATGTCGAGTTTTTGTTGTGCTTGATGATAAATGCTGTAGTTGCTTGCGGCGCGATGAAGTTGACTTTCAATGGATGTCTGCAACTGGCTACTTCTTTGACCTGCACTGCATCTCATACGAAGTGTTGGGTGGTTCATCTTGCTGCGTGGATTAACAGCGCATGGGATGCAAAAAAGCCTTGGTGTTTGTACTTACTTATATGCTTATGAGCTCTTTGAGATTGAGCCCTTCTGCTGGATTTTTGCTTCTCTTATTCTCCTGGAAGTTGGTCTAGTCGACCTAGTTGTTAACTAAGTTAGAGTTTACTTGGCATCCCAGTCATAGCGGACATTAATTCAATCATAGCAACACTTCATTCATGCATAATAATCTTTATGTTTTTCGAAGATCGCATAAGTAAAACTTCCGTCCATCGCCACAAGAGATTCACATTTCACCCAAACCTTCGGTCATGTGGACGTGAGTTCTGCATCTCTAGCTAACCTCCCCTCCCCTCCCCAAAAGTCGCTCCACTCCAGTTCCCCCGAGGCGTCTCCAATCAGTGAGGCCACGATTGTAATCAGACTCACCGCAGCAGCGGGACGCTTTCTAACCTTTCCGCGTGATGCCTCCCGAGCCACCGATTGACAGCGAGATTCT